TCTTCTGTTTTAAGGACAACCTTATCTCTTTTTTTCAGTTGTGAGCCAAGGAGAGTAACAAAATTGAGAGAAGAATAGATTCTATGTTTTTGGTTTTGGTGTTTGTCATCATAACTAGAAATATTTACAGCTGTTAATCCGTAGTCACAGTCAATATCCGCACTTATCACGATGAAGAAAGATAATTTAATTAATTTTCGTCAAAGATAATTTATAATAACAGTTTTGTGATATTGACCGATCCAAAGGCCTTGACCGGCTCTCGTTCACCATCACTTAAATGTACAGACCATACGCCGCAACATATTCCAATCCGTTCCAATCCGTTGTCGCCATCTTTCCGATTGACCAAGGCCTCGCTGTATCAGAGTTGGTATTCTTGGTTGGCCCTTGCCGCCAGATGAAAGTTCCAGGTTCAGCTGCGGCTGGGTCACTGTGTTGCTTTCCTCTCACAAAAAATATTCTCTCAGTGCCCGTCTCCACTCAAGAGTGTATCAGAATACTAAGAAAATGTCAGTAAACCAAAAAAACTGAAGGGTAACCTGGCCATGTACGGACATCCTAGTTTCCACCGAGTATCATCACTCCCAGCCTATTAATGCCTCTGAAACCGGGGTACCCTCCAGCACACTTACGATGAGCCATTAGCTGCAGCTAGCATTTTAAACTTACAGGGAAATGTGACTCTTACCGCATAGGATAAGGGTTCTTGGGTTTCAGCGGTTGAATCTTTAGAACGTCTTAAAATGAAACAATGTTTAGAGCTACAGAAAGACTGGTTGGTGAAAAGATAACTTTCTCTGTATGATAGGTGTAGCCGAAATTCTTCTCTTTGTGTTAATAAATTGAAAAGCATTAACTTTGGAGGCTGGATTTATGTTCGGAGCGTAACTGAAAACGACCTATACATATGGAAAACGAATGTGCACGTCGCAGAAAAAAAAAAACCGTCACGAAAGTATAATAATGAACAAACGAACGATGATAATAGGTGTTTCGTGACGTCTGTTTGTTACAGTAGTACAGTGCTTAACGTGAGTTCTGTATGTATTATTTGGTGGTGTGGATCAGGCCAAAGAGTAAAGAGTATACATCAAGTTTCAAAGCTGGCCTTGGATGTGGCAGACTAAATTGATTCACAATACTAGATCCAACTAAGAGCAAAGCTAAAACAGTTGTAGCCTTGGGAACTGATTTGATGAATAATGACATCAATGTGTGTGTTGTTGTAATAGAAACATCTCAAACCAGAAAAAGCAGAGATTGTCGTCAATATTCCTAGTTTATACAATCTCTGAGAAGAATAGGATCTAGTCGTTGTTATAGGAAAGAAGGCGGCGTGGCTGTTTATGCGCTGAACAAAAATTTAGTTATTGACATTTTCCATTCTGAATCATTTTCACTGACTGGCGTGACTTTGCTTTTGCGCATGGCATTCTGTTTGTCAGTTTGCAATCGTTACCCACCCTGCCAATCAAAAGTATGGGAAATGTGAACTTATGGAGTACATTGGATGTTCTTGGAGTCGGTCACCTAATCGTCTTCCCGTTTCACCGATGTATAACTTTTTGCAATGAGTGCAAGTTATGCAATAGATAACATTGGCTAAGGTGCCCTTAAAGTGACAGTAATCTTAATGGGTCTCTCGGGTCCCGACATTTTCTCTACGTTATGAATGAAAGGACAAGTTATGCATCGTGAGCGAGCGCATTTGAAAATCCCAGGTTGCTCATTGGTTTGAAATAAACTTCTGAAAAAAAGTTGCCTAAGTTTTTGTTGCGTTTGAATGAAATAAGTAGAGGTTGTGAAAGGATACCACTGGTCTCTGAACCGTTTGAAGCAATTTAAATTTTTTAAGAAAGATAGAATCAACTGCGTAGTTATGGGGGTGAGATGTGAGAGTGAATGGGATACGATCGGTATTTTCCTTCTGTGTCGTTGCTAGTGCTGAATGTCAATCAATTTGTTGGGCGCGGTGGTGGCCCACTTGAATGACAGAAACAGGATAGCCACGTTTATCGAAAAACTGGCACATTCCTTCTGACTTCTTTGAAAAATGAAATTGTTTTGAGTAGGAAGAGGCCTATCGATGAGTACTAAGATATTTTTAACATACTACAATGCTTTCAACTTATTGTCTTAGGCCTTAATTTTCAGCATGACTACAGAAATGATAAGCCGAGATGTGATGAACAAGTGTGGTGAGGCTGACAAATGACCTAAGATCTTTGCGTATGGAGAGATGTAGTTAGCTTAAGGAATTTTATCCATTCAAGACCATAGCTAAACCCAGATTAAGGATTATAATCATTATGCATCATACTCTTAAGAGATTGGATTAAATGCTCGTGTACCACTGTTTCCACGATAAATTCTACAACTATTACAAAATTCGAAAACGAAAACGCAGCGACTAAACGTATTGTTTTTTTTTTGTTTTTTTTTTGTCCGAACTCGGCGCCTGCTGAACGGCAACTAACTAACTAACACGACCGATTTGAATATTAATTAGTTAAGACTCAGAAATTCCTAGCTCGTTTCGTTGCCTGTTTGAAGAACAAAGCATCCCAGTTTAGTTTCCCGCTCTCGTCTCGGGCACGGATCTAATGTGCAGTGTCAATAACCACCAAACTATGCGTGGGAGGGCTTCAGGGCTTTCAGCACCGAATTCACCGAAGCGAAGTAACAAATCTTCTTGAGCATTGGATAGTTCCTTTAGAGTATGATGGCGATTACCTTTCGCTTCTTCAAAAACCAGCTGTTTCTTTTTAGAAAGATGAACTTCCCTGCACTCAAGAGAGAATCTTTTGTATTTCTTTATATTTATTTTTATTTTTATTAATTTTTCCACTCCACGTAGTACTTAGTTAAGTAACACAATAAACAAAGTATTGACGAAGCATTTCTAGTTCGGTACATTCAAATTTTAGAGAGGAGAGGGGGACATCTAGATACCTAATTAGTCCCCCTTAATTTAGGATAAAAAGTGATTCACCAAACTAGACTTAACTCAAAGAGAAAGACAGAGGATGAAGTACTTGAATACTAACTATTGAGTTAGATAGTAATGTGGGAGTGCTTTTTTAAAACATTTGTTTAGTTGGTTTCTCTCTAATAGGTTGAGGAATATCGTTTCAGATATACCTACCGACAACTGTTGAACAAAATTTCCCGACATATGTCGAAAAGAAGTATTTGCCAGATGGTTGGAGGATACACTTCGAGAGTCATAAGTATGCAGCTTGGACACTAAGGAGAGATTAAAGTTTGAACGTTTGTCAGCATTGAAATAGTTGTAGAGAAGTAAAGTTGTATTGAGTTTGACAATGTCTGGAACTTTCAAAAGTCCCATAGCTGTATAGTGAGGAGTAGTTGGTTGCATGAGAGGAACATCATTGATAATGCGAACCGCTTTGTCTTTTAATTTTACTCTTTAGAAAGTGGTGAATTATAATTATTTCCCCAGAGTGCACAACCATATGAAAGATATGGAAAAATAACAGAATAATAATTACATCTAGGTGGGTGGATCATCAGCGACTTTGTTCCTTTATACGAAACCTTTATTCCTTTATTTCGTTTATGCGATTTCAAAATCTGTTATATGAGTTGTCAACCACCTCTTGTAAAATTTATCACTCAGTCCTGTAGCAATCCAGGGCTTATAAGTTTTGTGTCTAATCTTAGCTGTTTTAAAAAGTGCATGTTTATTACTTACTCTATTGTAAATACGAAAAAATCTAGTAAGCCTTTCATTGACTTCGCTACAGGTCAATATGGAATCCCAATTTTCCTTTTTAATATCTATTCTAAAAGTATGTAACATAAGATGTGCAGTTTTTATCTTTTGAGGCAAAAATATTTTATTGGTATTAGTATTTTTTTATTTTTAAGCGCTAAGTTTGATATATTCCGACAGAAATAACTATATTACAAGAGTTATTTCTGTCGGAATATGTTTAATGATAAGTTGACGAACTTTACACCAAAGCCACCTAAGAATTTCCGGCTAAGAGTTTCACCCTTACCAAATCTTACTAATAAGTAGAAATGTTTTGACTCTCTTTTCAGAAGGTCCTGCCCCTTTCCTGATTGCTAGTTTCTGGTCATTATTTACCGTAACCAAGGTCAATACAGTTCCTCATGCATTGCTATTTGGTCGAGTCTTAAATTGAATCAATAGTGTTCATAAAGAGTTGGAGATACCTACGATAACATTATACGGGACCAAGACGGAGACAAAAGTATCAAAAAAAAGTAGATTTTTGATAGTTTTCAACTGTCAAAATGGTATTATCAACAACTAGAGGGATCAATGAAGAACAGGTGCTAAATAATCTTGAAGTATTACAAAGGAGAGTTTACATAGGAAAAAAGCTTTTTCTATTCTATGTTCACGACCAAAAGCACCTCAGAAATTATGCAAGCCTTATTTACCACCGAAGTATCATTTCTTTAGGACCAGACAAGGTAAGATTCGCTCCTTAACTTAGTACAACTGATTTGGCCTTCCTCTGCCTCAACATTGTGAAATAACTCTTTAAACAGCATTCTGAAAACATTTAAGCTGAATGCTACATAATTATACTTTGGTAGGTCTTCGTAGTTCAAGCTCACTAGAAGAATATTTTGGTAAGTTTTTATCGCTTCCAGATGAGCTCATTGATTTAAAATGCTACAAAATCTTCCAAATACCCGCCACAGCACTTCATCTTCGAGATGCTGTTCCCATGGATATATATTAAAGAAAGAGAGAATGGAATTTTTGATCATGCACTTACTAATTTGTATGTAGTTTTACTTATCCTTCTACTGGATGGATCACTATAAAAACAACTGAGTGCGATTTTCAGATACCAATACCATAAAATATTGTCGGCTTTGGGTTAAAACATATTCTCGTTTTGGGCTTCGTTGCCTTGAAACCTCGCCCAAGAAGAGCATATGTTTTAACCCAACAAGCTGTCAATATTCTTAAATATTTAACAGTTTTAAGATGTTCAGTTATGGGTGAAGCAGTAACGGTAGGGACAGCTCGTCGGCACCAAATAGTAGACGTAAAAGGAACTACAGTTCTTCACCCTTATGTTTTTCGACTGGTGACAGCACATATCCGAGCTCCTGCTGAAGCAAACAGTCCCTGCTACTTCTCCCTCAGTCACTGTGGGGTGACTACTGCTCAACCAGCCTGGAAATGATGTGCCGCACTTGTCAGGATCTGGACACTCAGTCGGCATTGTTATTCCTGGAATGTCCAAGAAACGATACCAATCAGGGTTGAGATTTTGGTCACATTCTGTTTTTTCCGGGTCATGGTGGCTTACGTCTCTATCAACATCGTGCAGAACGGTGTTGAGTTGGCATACATCAGCTAAATGGTAGAAAATCGAATAAATTGAACTTACAATGTTGTCGTTTTGTTAACTTTGAACAAATAAAACACTTAGTCTCTTATAAAAAGATTAAATTTTCCTATTGATCATTGTTTTCATATATGCTAATTTGATATTTTCCCGCTGGAACAAAAAAATTCGCCTCAACCCATAGCGCCTGTCATTTGCTAAGCACTTCAGTATCAGTGAAGAGGAATTTTCAGGCAGGCGTGCAAACAGACAGACAGAGGGACATATAGACACAGGTACCGGTCCATAAGACGTTGCATTTCCTACCCTCCCACTCTGAAGCTAGTGAGAAAAATGAAGACAACAAACCTTTGCATTCAGTGCCATCCCATTCATGTCCAAAATGACAGGTGCAATTGTATGATCCTACCGTATTTTTACAAATGGCAGCACCCTTAGCACATTTATTGTCATTTGAAGCACACTCGTCGATATCTAGGAACGACAGGAAGGCATTGGTAATATGTCAGTCTCGTTATCTTTTACATCAAATGGTTAACAAAATATTATACAAATAACTCGTTGGTTGATTTTAGCTGATGCTTGTCTCTCAGGGGTGTGGGCATACGCTGTATTGCCTTAATAAGAAGTAAAATAAGGCATTCTCTAAAATATGTTCCGAGTGTCTTCATATACAGTCGATCCATTTCCAAACCGAAGGAAAGAATCAAAGATCAGTCTTA